CGCACGGTACGGGTGGGAGGCGAGGTGGCGGGGGAGGGGGGGGGGGGGAGGGGGGGGGAGGGTGTTGGAGAGAGACTCACGTAAGGGAGCATGTGTGTGTGTGTGTATGTGTATGTCTGTCTCTCTCTCTGTGCATGTGTGTGCATGTGTGTGCATGTGTGTGCATGTGCGGCCTTTCGTGTTGCTGTGGTACATGTCGTTGCCGCCTCCACTTCCGATCGTCGCCGCCTTGACATGGTAGGGGCCGAGAAACCGGCTACGGGCATCGTCCCCTCGCCTGCTTTCTTCTACTTTGCAGAAAACGGGCCCGGCGTGCCGCTGACTCTTCAGTCTTCCGCTGCTGATACCATCTACCGCGGCTTTCTCCTGTTTGCCTCTGACCCAGCGTCGTCGCCGACTTCGCCGCGGTACGGCGCGCTGGACATCACCTCGGGCGCGATGAAGTCCAAGACCTGCGACGGCTCAGCCGTCGCTACCCTCACCCATACCGCGCGTTCGGCCAAGCTCACACTCGCCACCACATGGCATCCGCCGGCGGTTGCATCCGAGAACGCGCCCGTCGCTGATCACGTCGCCATCCACGCTGTCGTCGTGACAGAGACCCCGTACTGGTACCGTGCCGTCTCGGGCGTCATGCACCATGTCGACGCCTACAATGTTCGCCTCGCCCACGCCGACGGCTCATCGGCAGGTGCCTCGCACCTCTCTCCCCCGTTCTCCCGCGCAACTCTCGACTACTCGGCACTGGTCACCTCCAACTTGCTCAACATCTCGTCTGACTTTATGGGGCCCGGTCGGCCTGAGCTCTTCTCCGAAGATCTTGGCCTTGCCGGCGTTGTTATTCCGCCGGCAGGCCTCAACGTCTTGCTGCCTGGATCGGGGTTGTACGAGCTCGTTGTCGATGTCCGCGGCGACGACGGTACCCTTGCCAAAGAGTACATCATCCACGTCGAGGCCCGCATCCACAACGCCTCCTGCGCCGCCACCCGCCCCATTGTCAACGACATCCTCCTCTCAGGCCTTGCTGCGTCGGCGCTCTCGCCGCCGTTTGACCCTGCGGCAGATGCCGCCTCGGGCACTCGCTACGCCGCCGCCGCCGCCGCCTCCGAGTCCGAGGTCGTGTTTGGTGTCGACGTGACCCCCGCGGCTGCCCGCACACCGTCACCATCGCCTCGCTCAACTCGTCCGAAGAGTGGCGCTACGTCGGCGACGGCTTTGTCTGGTCCGCCTCGCTTCCGCTCGTCACAGGCACCAACTCGTTTGCAGTCAACGTCACCGGTGACGCCGCCTGGTCGTCGTATGTTCTCGACATCACCCGCGCCTCACCACCACCGCCGCCGCCATCGCCGCCGCCTCCGTTTCCACCCTCACCGCCGCCCCCATCCCCACCACCATCATCGTTTGCTTCACCACCACCGCCACCGCTGTCGCCGCCGCCGTCGCCGCCGCCGTCGCCACCGCCGTCGCCTCCACCACCAACGGTCCCAACTTATCTTTACTCGATCGTCGTCGACCAGGCTACCGACTACTCAGTCTCGTGGGCGCTCGACAGCGTCGCAGGCACGCTCGCGGTCCAGCTCCGTGCCGAGACTCAGGGCTGGATCGGCTTTGGCTTCTCGCCCTCGGGCTCCATGGCCAACGCCGACGTTTGGATCGCCTGGATCGACGACAGCCCGGGTTCGAGCTGCGCTGCAGGCTGCGTATTTGACTACAACGTCAATGGTCACACCCGCCCCTCGCTGGATGCCCAGCAAGATGTGGTGCTCTCCCGCGCCGTGCGGGAGGGCGGCTACCTCGTCGTCGACCTCGTCCGCGCGCTCAACACCGGCGACAGCGACGACTGGGAAATTGACGTCAACGCAGCCGCGCCCATCGCTACCATTCACGCCGTCCGCATCGAGGCTTCTGGCCTGCCGTCGTCCGACGGAACCGGATTCTCCATCCACACTGCCGGCAATGCCGCGACAACCATCGACTACGCCCGACGGCCGACCGACCCGCCACCGCCGCCGCCGGCGCCGTCCAGCTCGTCACCGGCGCCTGTCGTGTCCGACTCGACCCGGCCCAAGGCCACCACCGTCCACATTGTCCACGGTCTCCTTGCTGTCGTTGTCTGGCTCGTCATGCAGCCGCTCTCCTTCATCTTTGTCCGCTACATCCGCTTCTACCGCAAGCAGCAGGCCAAGGATCAGGAGCGGGCCGAGATGTGGCGCCGCCGCAACGAGAGGCTTGCCGGCGAAACCCTGCCGTCGCCGTCAAACCCGCCGTCGGTGTCGGATGAGCCCGAGCTCGACGAGTCTGGCCACGTCGTCACACGCATGGTTCTCCCGTCGGACGTGCTGCCGAACCGCCGCCCGGGCCTCCTCTTTGCCGCCGAGGCCCTCGGGGTGCTCGTCACTTTTGTTGTGGTGGTCATGGGCCTCGCCTCTGTCGACGGCTCAAACGGCGCCCACGCCCTACACATGTGGGGTGGCGTGGCGCTTTTTGCCTCGGCCGTCGTCCAGCTCGCCCTTGCCTTTATGACCCGCTCGGTCGAGGCTGCCACCTGCTATCGCCCGACCCACGACACACTCCAGGGCGTGAACTGGCTCCTCGCCCTCGTCGTCTCGCTTAACGGCCTCGTCATCGCGGTATCGCCGTGGTACCTGCACATCCTGGTCTGGTTCTTTGCCTTTGGCGCCATCGTCGTTGTTGCCGTTCTCGCCTACAAGAAGCACGCCTGGCGCAAGGCCGCCGCCGCCGCCGCTGCCAACGCGAGCGAGACAATTGCGGCTGCCCGCGCCGGCGATTCGCCGTCGACAGCCTCGTTTGACGCCTCGGCGTCAGCCGACTCTGAGCATCGTCCGGCCGGCGCATCCGCAGCTCCCGCCAAGCCGTCCAAGCCTGCCTTTGGCGACGACGCGCGATCCGCCTCCGGCGGCTACTCGTCGTACTACGATGACGACCAAGGTGACACAAAGCCAGTTCCCAAGCCCGTCGCTCCGGGCCCTGAATCAGTGTCGGCTGACGAGCCTGTGGCGTTGGGCGACGTTGCTCTGCAGCCGATCGCGCCGCCGACCGACGATGCTGCGCCGAGTCAATCCCGGCGCGATGCTCGCCGTCGCGTACCTGCGTCCACGTCCACGCCCACGCCCAAGCCCGTCCGCCGCGCACCAGCGCCACCCCAGACTGCCCCTGTACCAGCTCCTGCCGCCCCGGCTCCAGAGTTCAACGCCGACTTTGGCGCTGCTTTTGAGGCCGACTTTAACGAGTTCACTGAGCCCAAGCCCAAGCTCAAGCCCAACCCCGCTTCCGAGCCCGGAGCATCTTTCAGCTCGTTTAGCGAGTAAATGCGACTCTTGCACGGCGACTACACCCGCGCAAGCTCGAGCATGGCATGCCCGAGCATGACCTCGCCGAGACCCGGATACAGGTGGTTCATGTGCTCCGGCAAGAGGCCGACAATGTTGTCGAGCTGGGGTGACGGCTGGTGGGCCAGGATGGAGGCCATCTGGTAGTTGAAGCCAACGGCGCGCATGGCAGCGGAGCGGAGCTGGGCAAAGTGCCACTGCCAGACGATGGCGGCCACTGCGTGGGTCAGCGCCGTTCGGGTCTTCATCACCGCAAACGATGGTGGGAGGTGGCCGCCGTCACGGCCCCAGTCGATGCGGAGGCCCGAAAAGAAGGTTTGCAGCTCGACGTCGTCGCGAACGGCCTCATCCGAGTCGTACGCGGCAATCACAAATTCCACCGCGTCGTCGAGGTGCGCGCGCCACTCGGATGCGCGCTGGTGCGCCCACGGAAGTGGCGACGCGGGATCGCGAAAGACTGACAATCCGCGGTTCGCCATCCACTCGTCATAGTCCCCAAACGTGCAGGTGCGCCAAGCATGCTGGGCCGCGGCCACCGCGCCGCCTCGGGTCAGCCCAAACCCGCGCTCGAGGAGACCGCCCTCGACCAGCAGCGCCTCCGCGAGGTCAACCTTGCTCGCCCACCGGGACCCGATCTTGGGCGCAAGCAGCTCGCGGATCGGGTGGCCGGGCGAGAGCGCGGCGCCGACGTGGTACGCCACGAGGCCTTCGATCCGCAGATGGAAGCAGACAAGTGACGAAAGGATAGTGTCGGCAAGGAGGCCACCCCGCGCGAGCGTCAGCAGGACGTCGGTCCGTGGATCCGGCGCGTGGATAATGACGTCCGCGGTGTGGTTCCACACGCCAAGCAGGGTCAATTTTGAAGGCATGGCAACGTTGGGCTCCTCCGAGAAGAACACCGGCGAGAGATCAAGGCTGATGTGGTCGTCAGTCCGCTCGAATGCCTGCCAATGCGAGAGGTTGGCGACGAGCTCCCACAGCACCGGGTGGTTGCGGATCTTTGCGAGCTTCATCCGGTGCGAGGCCCGCGTCGCAAACATTCCCAGTCCACCGTCACCCATCAGTGCCGACCGGCCGTAAGGCGGATACGTGAGCCAGTTCTCGAGACGGGCCTCGGCGCCGTACCCGAGCTCAATCTCCTCGTCGAGCTCGACCCGTACTGGCGCTGGCGTCTCGCAATCGTCAAACAGACTTTCTGCCAGCCGCTGCTCGGCCGCCACCCACGATGGCTCGGCGGCGTCGAGGTACAGTACCGGTGATGCCGCCGCCAGGGCTGCCAACCATGACCGCACGTGCGCCAGAGCTGCGGCGGGCAAGTGAGCAAGCGACAAGCCGGCAGCCGGCGCAGCACTGGCCGGCGCCGGGAGGAGCAGATGTGGGAGGACGTTGGCGAGGGCCGGCGGTGGGAAGTACGCCGCGATGCAGCATGGCGGCATGTCCGATGAAGGCGAGGCGGCTGTGGTGCGAGTCGGCGCGGCTAGGGCAAAGAGGAAGGCTGCGCCCGGGTCGACGCCTCCCATGACCAGACCGAGTGTGGTGGTGACGACTGGCGTGAGGTACCAGACGAGGGCGGCGAGAGTGGCAAAGGTGGCGAGGGTCGCGACGGCGACAATCTTTGTGCATGTAACCATTGTATGTATGCGGTGTAGGTGGGTGGGTGTGTATGGAGGGTGTGTGTGTGTGGTGGGGGGTGGGGGGGGGGGGGGGGGGGGGGTGGGAGCGGCCTGTGCTCGTCAGAGTGAGGTGCCAGGGCGAGGTGTTGGCGCCGGACAACTGGCGACAGAGCACCCACCCGAGCTTCGGCCCCGAGCTTCGGCCCCGAGCTTCGTCGGCTTTGGCATCCCATACCAATCATTGCGTAGTGTTTTAGATGGTGGAGTAGTAGGGTGGAGGGAGAAATGCATGCATGTGTGTGCAGTGCAACAAGCGCTTACGCGTCGTCGCCATCCTCGTCGACGGCAGCCGGGCCATCGCCCGAGGGCTTGGACGACTTGCCCATACCGGTGATCTTGCCGAGCTTGTTGTAGATGCCCGAGGAGAACGAGACAAGGACGGAGATGTCGCTGGTGGAGATGCCCGAGACCCAGCCGCGGCGGTAGGCCGAGGCGGCAGCGGCGATGACCCAACCGATCTCGAGGCAAGCGTACTTGGACGCGCCCTGGATCGACTTGGAGAGGATGGGCTTGCAGAGGAGCTGGACAAACTCCGACTTGACGGGCTTCTCGCCAGACTTGAAGCCAGGCAGCTTGCCGCCGCCAGGCAGCTTGGGCGCACCGGGCAGGTTGCCGGGCAGCTTGGGCGCCGACGGGAGGCCAGGCAGCTTGGGCATGTTCGGCACGAAGTCGGCAATGTTGAGGTCAAACTTGGGCAGCTCGATGGAGGAGACAACCGAAATGCACGCCTCGAGGATCTTCTTGCCCGGCATGGACGGCGGGTCCGGGAAGGGGATGGGGGACAGGTTGGCCGCGTCCTCCTTCATGCGGGTGAGGCACTCGGTGAGCGACGGGAACGAGCCCATGTCCGGCAGAGTCTTGCCCTCGAGCTTGTCAAGGATCTTCTGGATGGCGTCACCCGGCGAGAGCGACGGCGGCTTGGGCAGCGGAATGGCGCCGAGCAGCTTGCCGCACGACTTGCCGATGGCCTTGAGGATGCCGACGAGCGAGAACGAGTCGGGCAGGCCAAAATCGATGTCGCCCAGCGACTTGACCTTCTCGATGATCTTCTCGAGCATGCCGGGCACCTTGGGGTCCGACTCCTCAACCTCAGGCTCGTCGAGGTCCATGCCCGCGAGCGCAGACGCGACGGCGCCCGACGCCGAGCCGGCGTCCGACGGCGGCGGCAGGTTGGCCGCGCACGCGTACGGCGAGCGCGTCGTGCCGCCCGACGAGCCAGAGTCGTCGTCGTCGCCGCCACCAGGCTTGCACTTGGTGTACAGCTCGAGGAGGTCCGGGCACGTCAGCTTGGGCATCGACGGCTTGGGCATCGACGGCATCTCAATCTCCTTGAGCTTGTCGACCATGGCCTTGAGCATGTCGCACACACCCTCGACCAGGTTGGGGATCTTGGGCATCTTGAACTTCTTCGGCGGCTCATCCTCCTTGCGGAGGCGCGAGGTAAAGTACTTGATCGCATGCGGCGGTCCACGGAAGCCGCCGCGGCCGGGCAGGTTGATGTCCGGGCCGTCGGGCAGGTTGACATCGGGCAGGTTGACGTCGGGCAGGTTGACGTCAGGCGCGTCGGGAAGGTTGACGTCGGGCAGGTCCGGCATGTTCGGCATCTTGCCCGGCAGCGAGCCGCCAGTCACCGACGGCGCGCCGCCGGCCTTGGTCTTGAACTCGCCCACGTTGACGTACGAGTAGTACTGGTGCGAGATGCGGTGCAGCTTCTTGGCCTTCTTGAGCTTGCCCTTGAACTTGGGCACCGCCGTGTACGTGGCACGGTCGGTGACCACCACCATCCGGTCCTGCTGCATGCCCTTCCAGTTGATCTTGGTCACAAGCCAGCCGCCGATGAGCTCCTCGGGCGTCTCCGGGTCGAGCCCGCGGTCGATGAGCGCCTGCCGCTCGTCCTCGGCAGTGTCCTCCATGATCGCCTTCTCACGGTACGCAGGCGTGTTGATGTACTCGACCACAATCTTGGCCGCGTTGCGCTCGTGGTTGTCCTTGGGGTAGAAGCACGGGTAGTTGAGGATCTTGCGGAGCCAGTCAAAGTCACCGCGGCGGATCTCCCACGAGGTGCAGACCGAGCGCAGAAAGTCGATCTTCTTGTCGTGTGCGTCCGCGTCCATCTCCTCGAACTTGCCAAACCGGAAGAGCCGGAGCACCTGGTTCGACACACGCCGAATGTCCCACGACGACGCGTAGTGCCACGAGTACCGGTCATGCGCAAAGAGCGACTTGATCGTCATCACCTTCGACTCCATGCCGTACTTGACCACAGACTGGTCGTGCCACCAGTACGAGACGCCCTCCGGTGGCGGCTGGTACCGCCCACACTTGATCACAATCTTTGAGAACGCAGTCTGCTTCTCCTCGTCCGAATAGTCCTCGTACCATCCGCCCTGCCCGGCCCACTTGACCGGCCGCCACGAGTAGTATGCGCTCCACGACGACGCGTTCTTGAGTGCCACAGCCTTCATCTTCTTGCCCTCAAACTCGGACGCAGCCTCCTCCGTAAAGTCAAACGTGTCCCAGTCGGTCTCGCACGTCACACCGCCCCAACCAGACTCGGACGCCTCCGCCGCAGCCTCGTTGATCTTGGTGATGTACCCCTCGTGGAGCTCATAGTGGATCACAAGCGCCACAGTGATGTCCGACCGGTAGAAGCAGTGCCAGTAGCAGCAGAACGACGTCGTGATCACAAGGTCGTTGCCCTCCACCTTGCACCGGTCGTCACGCGGGAGCCCGTCGTTGTTGTGCCGGAAGATGATCTTGTCCAGCGCAGAGAGCTTGTCCTGCCCGTCGTAGTTGTTGACGCAGTCCTTGATCGCATCCTCAACATACCCAAACGTGTACCACCCAGTCCACGACGTGAGGTGGTAGAACACACGCCCGGGGTTGTTGGCCGCCTCGAACGAGTCCCAGTCGACCTCAAACGTAGGGCCAGACCCACCGAGATGCTGCGCAATCTGCGGCTGGTACTTGTTGATGGCCTCAGTCACCTTGGTCTTGCACTCATCCAGAGTCATAGGCATGATCTGCTCACCCGCCATAGGTCACACCACTCCCGTGAGTCTCTTGCCGCCGTACCCGCCCGCTTGGCGAACAAAAAAAAAATGAATTTTCGCCAGCCTGCCGTTGGCCCCCCCAGCCCGTCGTTCCATGCCTCGCAGCTGCTCTTGGTCCTCCTTCCGCCCTGCTGCCTCCACCGCGACAACCTCGCAGCCCTTTGTCACGGAATACCGGAAACAGGTCGTCACCACGGCTTGCTCGCCACTCGCTTTCCCCACTTTGCTCCGCCGGTGGCAACCCACCTTCCCCCCCCCCCTCCGGCATTCTCGCCCAAACGGGGATGCCCTTCGCATTTCTATTCGATCACATCGTGAAGAAGGGAAAACGGGCCCAAATAAAACACGAGGCGGGGGGGGGGGGCTCACGTAGCATGCACGGCCAGGCCTGGAACACAAGCTTCTACGTACACTAGCAAGGCATGCATATTCTCCTTCTCGAAGTGGGGCTTCAATGAGGGACGAAGGGGAGGAGGGGAACGGGGTGGTCGGGTGGTCGGGTGGGGCTAGGGAGGTGGAGGTGGCAACGTACAAAGCGGTGAGAGAAATGGTGCTTTCGCGGCTATCCAATCACGAGCTTCGATTCCTTCAGCGGTTTTTTGGCAAGTGCTCCATTCGGCAACTCCCGCGCCATGCCAGTGCATGCAGACGATCGGATGCTGGACACGGTTGCATGAGGGAGAGAGGGAGCTTGGTGTGTGTGTGGTGGGGGAGTGCTGGATCTACAAGCTATCTATGCCCACCTGGCCAGTTTACCAAGTACCTTTGCCTCGCTGCTCGCCGATGATCGACGATGATCGACGCTGCTTGCGCCGGACGACGCCGGTCAACGCTCATCGCTTGAGTGTGTCCTTCTTGCTCTTCATGATGACGTTGCCCTCGACATCCTCCATTCCCTTGAGGAGGAGGGCGACGTTGTAGCGGAGGTCGTTAAACTTTTCTTGGCTCACCTCAAACTGCTTCTTGCTTCCGTCCGAGAGCGAGAGCTCCATCAGGATGGCCGGTTTGAGGACCCGGGTCATGGCTGATGTGGAGATGGCAACGTCGACCCGCCACCGCAGCCGCTTGATCGACGGGTACGAGATGCGCGAGTCGAGCCGCGACGCGATCATCTCCGACCGCCTGTCCGCCGCCCAGACAGAGCCAGCCAGTTGCAAACGACACAGATCGAGAGGTACGAGAAGAAGCAACATCGGGTGTGGGAAGTGTGGGAAAGCGCGTGAGTGACGGGAGGAGAGGGTGAACGACCCAGCACGTGACGGGGGGAGGGGGGAGGGGGAGTCCAGGTGTGTGTGTACACTGCAGAACGTACTTTGCACGGAGAACCTTGGACATGGTCTTGATGTATGCGTCGGGCATGTTGAGGTTGCGCATGGCGGTCTGAAAGTCAATGGTCTTGACTTGGAGGCGGACGGCAGCGTCGACAATGACCTGCAACGCTGTGTACACAATGTCGACAGCGTCAGGGCCTAGGGCGGCCATAACAGACTCGGGCACCTCTGTCCCCAGCACCACACCCTGCAGCAGGGCGGTAAAGGCTGGCCCGGGCACCTTGCGCATCAGTGGCATGGCATTCTTCACCTCGAGTGGCAGGGGCGTGCCCAGGAACTCGACCTCGCCCGACATGTCGCGAGAAGTGCCCGTCGCGCACGGCAGCGGCAGTCACGAGCGACGCTCGCGCAGGGACCGACCGGCAAGCCGCGGACCATCCATCGGATGTCGTCAGGGCGCTTAATAGCTGCTGGAGAGCGACTCACTCGTTTACTCTTGCTACACCAGAACCGGGCCGACAAAGCCGTTTGCATCACGGGCCGGCATGGAGAGCTTGACGCCATGGGCAGCGCCGTACTCGATGGCGCTGTTGTAGACCATCAGGACGGCCTGCTCGGCCTCGTGACGCGAGCTCGCTGTAATCCGGATCCACCGCATGCCATCGACAACCTCCTCCCGCTCTGCAACCTTGATCTCCGCGCCCGAGGTCTGTCGAATGAGCCCGATTGTCTCGCCCTTTCGCCCGATGACTCCCAGCGAGACCGCGTCGGGCACATGTACCGTCACTGTCACCCTCTGCCCACCCGGCGCAGCCAGAGCAACGCCGCCGCTAGCCGCAGGCGCCAGCCCTAGCCCGCCAGCAATGCCCGGTCGGCCCTGCAGCCGCGCCATCCGCGACGGATGCATCCGCGGCCCACCAGCACCACCCACTCCCGATGCAGCCACACCCTGTGACGGGGGGTTTTGTGGCGGTACAGCCTGTGGCGGGAGGCCTGGCGGCGGTGCAAGCGGTGCGGCGGGTGCCTTGCCAGCCACCACATCATACGGAATCTGGGTCAGTCGGGCAAACTTGCGCAGTGCAGCCTCCTTGGACGCCAGAGCAGCAGCATACGCCTGCTCCCTTAGCTCCTCCTTCTCCCTCCGTCCACCTCCGCGCCGCTCTCTCCTGCTCCGTCCGCTCCGTCTCCGTCCTCCATGCGAGTGCGAGTGCGACTGTGACCGTGACCGTGAACGCGACCGCGACCGCGACCGCGACCGTGACCGCGACCGTGACCGACTTTCACCTCGCATATCCACCCTGTCCCTAGAGTGCAGTCTGTTCGCCTACCCCGTTGGCCTTGCCCTCTGTCCCGCGCACTGCTCACGGCGAGCCAACCCGGTCACTGACAACTCGATCCGACCAGGGCTGTCACACTGCGGAGCCCCCCCCCCCT